TTTGGCAAGTATGATTCGCCAGGCACCAATCCCAAGACTAAGGGACTGCTTCGGCTTTTGAGTCTTCATTGCTCGCTCGCACCACTCGAAATTCGACATTCTTTGAGACCTGTTAAACAAGACAAAACATTGGTTGTTTTTATGATTCCTTCTATTCCTTAAGAGCCTTGAAGGAACAATTCATCCAGTGCTCACTTGGTATTGGTTTAAGATGCGTTTTCACCACCTTTATTCGAGGTGTAGTATAGCAGAAGTTTATTTAGGAAAAAAATGTGACCGAAACTTACGAGTAAAGAATACAACCCTGTAGGGAGTGTTTTTCTTCTGCTCATCACGAATGAAACATTATTCACACAAAGTCTACAGAGCAAGAAGACACCAGAAGCAAAAGATGTCCACAAAAAAAGAAGATAGAGTAGCTGAAGCACGTTTCTAGATACTGTTAGTGATTGAATTCGAATGACTCATGGTGAGTAGGTATTGCTTACCGATCGTGCGTCCTCCGGGTTATGAGCCCGGCGCGCTTCCGCTGCGCCATTCAGCTTTTGAACTACCAATTGAGCATGAAGAGTATTTCAAATTACTTGCAATATAAATCAAGAAGAGTTTGAGTTATTGGATTGATATGCTATCGACCAGTCTTGGGACATACATTTTGACTAAGAAACTGGGCTGTGGGGTGGGGTTGCGAACGCATTTTTACCGCTTATTAGTGCGGCGGGTGTCGGACAGTTGCGGCCATATGGGGATAGTGGGACGATTTTGGGTTACCACGGTAAGCCAGACGTAAGGGCATCAATGTGCCTGTTAGCGAATGAGAGAAGGGTGCCGTTATATCAGACTGAAAATGATGCTTTTGTCCAATACTGGAATGTAGAGTCGAGTCTGGGGGAGAAGGAATGGTTCATCTATGCGTCATGACTCGGCACTCACAATATCTGAAAATGATTTTTCTTCTTCTTCTTGAACTCCAAACTGATCATCCCGTCTAGCAAGTAATGACAAGGGCGATACTCGATGTTGCTCGTTGATGTTGATGTCGGCGGGCATGCATAAGTACAATAGGCGGGGGCTCGAACATGAGATGAGCCCATAAGCGGTTAGCGTCGAAACGCGCATCCACGCGACGCGTCGGTAGTGCTTTAGAATGCCTCCCCACGCCAGACAGTGAATTGACATTGTCTACGCGGACCGATGAGCAGTTATTCACCAGGCATCCCCTCCTCGTTCGATCCCGCCTTGCTCAACTCGGAAATCGAATTTATCCACGGCGCGCCTGCTACCCCTTCGTATTCCGACGATATCGACGCAATTCAGCAGTGCATCGCTGAAGACGTTGATAAGAAGACCCGCGCAGGAGTCGTCATACAACACCGCGCTTGGAGAGTTGCAGACGTGTTTCGAAGTGAGGGTGAAGGAATAGTTGGTACTGTTGGTGTGAATACGCACTGCAACCAGTACTAACCCTCCCAGAAACACCCGCAAAGCGCCGCAAACATTTGCCAATCAAGCGCTGTCCTACTGACACATTGACTGGAGACCCGTCGTTTCCCTCTTCACCTCCAGCGTTCGCCATGCCGCTCATATCATCCCCTATCGCATACCCGCCCAGCTCATCAATGCCACAACCGCCGTCGCCAAAGAAGAGAAAACGCCCAGAAGATGCCCGCGAGCTGTTGCAAGATGTACCAAATAATAACACCACCCGCAAGATTGGCGGGTTTCTCGACGACTCAGACGATGAGGAGGATATTGCAGCGCTCCAGGAGCACACTCTGAAGAGGAGGGCAGTGAGCAGCATCAAAGATCTACCCGAAGTCCCAGAAGGATTTGCCGATTATACACCACCAGCAAGCCAGGATGAATTGGCAGACCCCGAATCGATACCAGTCGATGAGCTCGACAACTATAGCTTCAAGTCGCAGTCACAATCGCCCGTCAAGCGACCACATACGTCACACGAACCTATTTCAGCACAGCCTATGCGCGGTATGGTGGCTCGCAATGCAGCTGGAAAAGTAATATATATACCGAAGAAGGCAAAGCGCCAAGTCGAATCATACGAAGAAATTATCGCCGCACGCTCAGAGCCTGTCCAGGGAAAAGCGAGGACCAGCTACTATGGACTCAACATTCACCAATTGATGGACGAGGCCAAAACACTGGATCAAGAGAAGGCACTGAGCAATTCAATGAAGAACCTCGAGTTACCACAACAGTCTGTTGAAGAGCCCGTCAGCAAAAGTGGCAAGAGCAGCCGTACACTCATGTGGACCGAGAAGTACAGGGCAAAAAAGTTTACAGATTTGGTTGGAGATGAAAGAACACATCGATCAGTACTGCGTTGGCTAAAGGCTTGGGATCCCATCGTCTTTCCGGGATCTGTCAAGGCAAAACCGAAGAAAGCAAAGAATGGCTTCGAGGAGGATGAGCAAAGGCACCGCAAGATTCTACTATTGACTGGCCCTCCTGGACTTGGAAAAACTACCCTTGCACACGTTTGTGCTCGACAAGCGGGCTACGAGGTTCAAGAGATTAACGCATCCGATGAGCGCAGTGGGAACGTTGTCAAAGGCCGTATTCGAGATATGGTCGGAACTGAGAACGTACGCGGTATCAACACAAGCACAGCAGATGGTAAAGTTCGTAAAGCCGGTAAACCGGTGTGTGTTGTGGTTGATGAGGTAGATGGTGTAGTGGGAAGTGGCGGCTCGGGCGAGGGTGGCTTTATCAAGGCCCTGATCGACTTGATCAATCTGGACGAGAAAAATTCAAAAGCACTTGGGCAGGGACAGTCAAACACCGGGACAAATAAGAAGAAGGGAGACAAATTTCGACTATTACGGCCACTTATACTGATCTGTAACGATCTCTATCACCCTTCGCTACGGCCGTTACGACAGTCATCGCTGGCCGAGATTGTGCACATCCGCAAACCTGGCCTCAACATGGTAGTTTCGCGCATGCAGGACATCTTCACCAAGGAAGGCATTCAATGCGATTCTGACGGTGTTCGTCGGCTGTGTGAGGCTACATGGGGAGTGAGCACAAAGAAAGAGGGCGGAACAGGTAGTGGCACAGGCGAGGGTGACATTCGTGGCATCATGGTAGTCAGCGAATGGATAGCAGGGCGGTTACGAGCTACCCATGGTTACAAATCCAAAGACCCGCCACATCTCTCGCGGAAATGGATAGAAGACAATCTCATCAATGACCTGAAGCATGGCGGAGGAGCTACTCGCAGCTTGGGGCGAGGCGGTGCGAAGGATGTGGTTGACCGCGTCTTTCGCGAAGGCGCTGGCTTTCCCAAACAAGCTGAAACTACTGACCCAGCAACGGCATTAGCGAGAGCGAAAAGCGGTGTAATCGGTGTTGCTGAAGCGGCAAAACGGCGCGCTATGGATCGTCTTAGGGAGATGGTCGATACAAGTGGCGATTGCGACCGTGTTGTGACTGGTGAGCTTGCTAAGATACTGAATACTTAGGGTATGCTAACGATGAACAGACTGCTTCACTGCATACCCTGAGAAGCCTTTCCAAGACGATACATTTCTCAGCAAACCCAACGCAGCTTACGAATGGCTGCATTTCCACGACACAATCAACGCAGCCGTGCATGGCTCACAGGAATGGGAACTTGCACCTTACCTTTCCAACTCTGTACTAGCTTTCCACGACCTATTTGCCTCACCCATTCGGTCAACAACGAACCCCGTAACAGATCCGGACGCGCAGCCAACGCCATTTTCCGGTCCTGGCGCAAGTTTTGCTGCAATGGAGCAGACCAAAGCCAGTAGGGCTCAGTTGATGGCGCTGCAAACAACTCTGAGTTTATCCCTGACTCGCATGTTTCGAAGTCCAGAAGAGATGGCCATGGAACTGATACCCTATGTCTTACGCATGTTGTCGCCAGATGTCAAACCTGTTCTCGTCAACACCGGTGCTGCAGGATCAAAATCGTTCGCCACAGCCTCAGTACGCAAAGCTTCAGAGAAGGAGTTGGTAAAGAAGGCTGTGGAAGCCATGGTCGCAACTGGAGTTCGCTTTGAGAAATCCAGAATCGAAACAGAAGAAGTGTCGCATAGGAGTGGAGGCTTCATTTGGCGTATGGAGCCCGCCCTCGACGTCCTAGCCACCTTTGAGACTCTCGCCAGCAAGAAAGACGAAAAGGCACGCTACGCTGTCCGCAGTGTTCTCGAGCAGGAATGGAGGAAGGAGTCTGCGATCCGTGAACAGGCCAATCGCAAGCGCCGCGGAGGTCAAGACGAGTTTGATGATGACGCAGAGGCAGGAAAGAAGGAGGAGATGACCACCGAAGAAAAGATTGCTGCAGTCAATAAGAAGGCTGTCAAGCGTGACTTCTTCGGAAGAGTAATACAAGAGACAGATGCGAGCAAGAAGGAGACGAAGAGGCGGCAGGACCTTGGGGAGATGCAGGGAGATGCGGGAAGGATATGGGTATCGTTTCACGAAGGTTTCTCGAACGCAGTCAGGAAACCCGTCACCATTGACGATATTATGCGAGACCTGTAAGCTCGGGGCCCGTGTTTGGATTTTCCCGTTATGCTAGGGATTACGAATTTTGTACATTGTCCTCTCTGGATCGCCTGCGATGATATGCATCACGTACGCCATTGTACCACGAAGTGTAGACGGCTCCCCGCACCTGCCCTATATGGTAATTGTTTCGTTACTTACAACTTCGGAAGGAGAATTGGTAATGCAGTAGTACATTATGGAGCAAGGGGCTGGCCAACTCAACGGGACCATCCCCACTTTTCCGCACCGTCTTACGCCCGTACAGGCGATCTGACCGTGACACCGCCTTGATAACAGCCGTCATGCATTGGTAGCCTGGGGGGATTAAACGATATAATGCCATTTCTTGGCAGTTATGTGGAGATATAATTTGCGCTCCAACGCCCTTGTCTCTAATCCTAGTCGTTGTGCTGTGTACAAGCTCACTGTTCAGGAGCAAAGAGCCCTGTACTAACCCCACGATGGCCCCCCTTTCACTCTACTGGGATTTCTACTCGTCCTACCTCAGGTGCTCCCTCAACCTCGCCCTCGCCCGACTGTACACACCCCAAGCCCCTCCCCAGCGCGATCTCACCGGCCAGACCGCAATTGTAACCGGAGCAAACAGCGGCATAGGACTATGCATTGCCGTCCGACTAGCCCGACAAGGCGCCACCGTCTACCTCGCGTGCCGAAACCAAGCAAAGGGCGATGAAGCCGTTGAGTACATCAAATCCCAACTGGGCTCTTCCGGCAAACCCGCCAACATCTTCTGCTGGACCCTCGACGTAAGCGACATGGCCAGCGTCCGCACCTTTTGCACCCGCTGGCGCACCCAAGGCACGCCCATCGACATACTCGTACACAACGCCGGCATCCCCGACGTCACCAGCTCCCAATGCCGCTACAACGAAAAGGGCCTCGATGTAATCTACGTCACCAACCTCCTCGGCTCCTTCCTCATGACTTCCTTGCTTGAACCCCTTCTCAGCCCTACCTCGCGAACCGTCTTCACCAGCAGCATAAGTTCCTACCTCGCGCGGGACACCGTCCTACTCCCGCGCCCCACGCGGCCAGACCACTCAACCAGCAACGTCCTCATCCGCGCCTGGCACCGCCTCCGCGCCGCCCTGGGTCTACGTGACAGCGGCGCCCTAGTATACGGTCAAACAAAAGCGCACCAAATCCTCCTTTCGTCACTCCTGCAATCCCACTTTGACGCTTCTTACCCCAACAACAAGAGGACCGTCCACGCCTTCTCGCCGGGCTTCACGCAAAGCCCCATTTTCACAAAGTTCGACATGACCTGGCGGACGCTGCTGTATGATCCGGCGTTTTCCTTCTTGTACTATACTGAGACGGTTGTGGCGACGGAGACGGATGAGGGGGCCAAGACGGGGGCGTGGCTTGCGGCTTGTGGGGGGGAAAGCGGGGTTGAAGGGGGAAAGTACTGGGAGGTGATGAAGAGCGAGGTTAGTGTGATTGAGTATTGGAGGGGGAAGTTGGGGGAGGAGCGGTTCAAGGAGGTTGCGAGGGGGATTTGGAAGGTGTGGGAGGAGGACAGTGGGTGTGAGTGGGATATCAAGTTTTGAAAAAAAAAGTCGTATGAGGAAAGATTGTGGAAAGAATTTGTATAAGAATTTGAAAAGATATATACGTAAGGGTCTTCTTTACATTCGTCAGTATCCAAGCGTGTACGTTTGCTTCCTCTATCCAACAAAATTTACACGTAAATCTTCACTCTTCTTCTATCTTCTTTCACCTACTGCCACGAACTATTCACACTAGCACTGGCCTGGCAGCTCGGCGCAGTGTACGACCTGTTAGGGTCACTCTCCCAGGTGACAGTTCCTCCACTGTTAATCTTGACAAACTTGTAAGAGATGGAGGATCCAGCAGCCAGTGGCACGGTAATGGTCCAGATGGGGTTGCTGGATGTGTAGCTAGCTGCGGACAGGGTAAGGCCGTTGGCGGGAGTCCAATTACCTAGCTGGGCGGTGTTGCCGGTGATTTTGATGGTGTCACCGGGGACGGTAGTGACGCGGTGGGTGAAGGAGACAGAGACGGCGGTGGGGCATGCGGTTGATGTGGCGGCGGTGGTGGCGGTGCGGGTGGAGAGGGTAGTGGCAGTGGTGGGAGTAGCGGTGCCGGCGAGGAGGACAACGGGCTCGCCGTTTGTGACGGAGACACAAATTTGGCCGTTGCTGTCGGCAGTGACGGTGGCGCCGTTGCCGTAGACGTTGGTCCAGCGGCCGTTGGACTTTTGCGTGTTGAAGCAGTGCTGGGTGTTGGAGTTGCCGCCAGCGTTGGTGGTGAGGACAATCAGGTTGCCGTTGGCACGGCTCCAGGCGTAGGCTGTGTCGGCGACGTACAGGTGGACGTGGTCGTTTCCTGCGAGACCACCGGCAGCCTGTCGGGCGGCGGTCAGTTTCTTGATGGATTGGTAGAGGTTGCCGTTGGTGTTGAAGCCACTGCGCCACAAATCCTCTCGGTTAGCTGGGTCGTCACCACCAGCGTATCCCTGCTCGGTACCATAGTACAAGATCGGGATACCACGTGCAAGAATGACATAAGCAAGAGCATTCTTGAGCAGAGTCTGGTCGTTCTTGACGTTCAACCAGCGCTTGTTGTCATGGTTGTCGAGGAAGGTTCCCAAAGCAGATGGGTCGGGAAAGGTATTGCTAACAGTGTTCATCATGTCGACAAGCGCCTGGGAAGAGCCCTTTTGCTGGTAGAAGTTGTTCATCGGGTAGTAGACTGCGTAGTTGAGGAGACCAGGCATGAGCTTGGCGTACTCAGCAAGGTAGGTTGGGTTTCCGTCGAATACCTCGCCAATGCTGTAGACACCGGTAGCGGCGGAGAAGCCAGGCCAAAAGTCCTTTTCGACGTGCTTGACGGTATCGATGCGGACGCCGTCGAAGCTGTACTCCTTTACGAGCCAATTGACCCAGGTGTTGAGGAGTGTACGGATCTCGCTCTTGGTGGTGTTGATGTCGGGAAGTCCGGCAATTTGGCATATCTCGATACTGTTTTGGTTGCTGTAGTCGATGTTGCAAGCGGTGTGGTATGATGAAGCTTGGTTGAGAGGTTCAGGGCGGTTGTTTGTGATTGCCCCAGGACCCATGTGGTTTGCGACAACGTCGACCATCATGTAGATGCCCTATGATGAATAAGCAAATGCAAAATGGATATACCAAATCCAGACATACCTTGGCATGGGCAGCAGCGACGAGGCTCTTCAAGTCGGCAGCAGTGCCATAGTTTGAGTTGACCGCATACAAGTCCTCGGCCCAGTAGCCATGGTATCCAGCAGCCTTGTCTACAAGTTGAATTAGTACTGCATCGTCTTGACAAAATTTGTGATGAACATACTTGAAACGACGGGGGTGATCCAGATGGCATCGAATCCAAGTCCCTTGATGTAGTCGAGCTTAGACTCGAGGCCCTTGAAAGTTCCACCGCAGTAGTTGCCGAGGTCGCCGCAAGCTGAGCCGCCCGTGTCACTGCTGCTGCGGGCAACACGATCCGTCAGGACAAAGTAGATGCTGCGTGACTTCCATGCACTTGTGTCCGCCGCGGAGACGATGGAGGTGATGTAGAAAAAGAGAGCGGTAAAGATCTTGAGCAGCAACATGGTGAAGAGAAGGGGTGCTTCCCAAGTTTGATGCCTGAAGGACTCTGATGAGTTGAGTTCGAAAGTAGACGAGGCCGAGGGTGGGATTTATAGACGTTCGCTGAGGGTACGGGCACGAGAATGCCGGCCACGATCTTACGGCAACCCCACAACCCCAGACGAGAATCGGGTGGCGCTGGCGATAATTGCTCGGTAGTTTGGATGTCTATGCGAGATGGGCGCCGACAGCGTTTGCATAGATGGGCCGGAAGCGGTTTGGAAGCATGAAGAGGAGAAGCTTGTTCGTCCGGGCCGTCATGAATCCATTCAAGAAGACGTGTGCCTGGATGATGGGCTTACACATGAAGATCTGTCGGTCCGAGCGTAGGGGCAGCGGCGTGAGCCTCGTGGACGAGTGAAACAATGGAGATGACGGTGCAAACGCCTATTCGGGCAGCTGGGGAAACGAGATGGCGGACTTGGAGCACAGTGGCCCAGTCATCTTGTCCGGTCGCGTGTCACGTATCGGACGCGCATGGGAGTGGTAGCCGACGAGAGGCTATCCAGGTTGGTAGGGGGAAATGAAGGGTGTCGCAAGTCGTCATGACGGTGGCGGTACGGTAAGCGAGCTGATGTGCCTTGGGCTAGTACTACGTACTAGGGGGCTAACATTGCCATTCCCCCATCCTCCATCCTCGCCAGTCGACTCCCCGCCTTGGACGGCATAGCAGCGTGGTTTTTTTCAATTAAGGTGCGGGCCGGGCGACGTTCTTTTTGTTCTCATGACCACTCGACTACCGTCGTTAGGCTGTGTGGCCTGGTAAGCTTACATTGGCTTCCGACAGCGATCCAATGGCCAACCAGCCGGCCACGCCAAGCTACGATGGATAGGGAAAGCGGCCGAAGTCTACTACCGTCCTCATGGCTGCTGGTCCTGGAGACGGACATGCGCCGGCACTGCGCTCCTCAAGCAGGCACAAACATCTCGCATACGGCAAAATTCCACGAATCTCCGCTCCTGTCTGAAAATGCGGAGCCGGACAGGCTAATGCATGAAATTACGGCATGGCGCATACACTGCAACTCGCCAGCCTCGACGAAACCACCTAGAACCCCATAAGGACGTGTAGCCAGGCAGAAAATTAATTTGGGGAGACATGTGCCTGCGCTTATGCCGACTTCAATCCAATCAAAGTCCCCTCGACCACGGCATCTATGCGGGGCATCACATGGCGTCTGCAATGGGAAACGAAACATCGGCATACCATCCAAAGAAATGACTTGAAGTTGACCTTCGTGAAGGACCAAGGGCGAGCTTGTAGACACCCAGCGTCGAATGACCTTGTGATTGTATATATGTGTCGTGTTATCCGTTTAACCTGAGTCTTCATCACACTCAAATCTGTTCTTCTCAACGCCATCTTTCAAGAGAACGACTTCTGTGACCATGTTGTCCAAGATCCTACTACCCGTCCTTGCACTTGCAGCCAGTGCCGATGCACATGGCTACCTCAGTTCACCCATGAGCCGAACAGGGCTGAATGCACAGGTAGATAGTTCCTCAACAGATCTCAACATGGCCACCAAATAGAGTTTTCTCACACTTCACAGTCTGGGGCTGACACGTGCCCCGAATGCACAATCCTGGAGCCGGTAACAGCATGGCCTGACCTTGACGCCGCAGCCGTCGGCCGCTCGGGTCCTTGCGGGTACAACGCTCGTGTGTCCGTTGACTACAACCAGCCTGGGCCTCGCTGGGGTTCTGAGCCCGTCATTACCTACAAGGCTGGGGATGTCGTCGATGTACAGTGGTGCGTAGATGCCAACGGTGACCATGGCGGCATGTTCACCTACCGCATCTGCCAAAACCAAGCCATCGTCGACAAGCTCTTGACCCCTGGATACCTCCCTACTGAAGCAGAGAAGCAAGCAGCAGAGGATTGCTTCGAAGCTGGCGAGTTGAAGTGCACAGATGTCCCTGGACAGACATGCGGATTCAACTCTGACTGCCAGCAAGGCCAGGCCTGCTGGAGAAACGACTGGTTCACATGTAAGTAGACTTCCATCTTGACAAGCAGTAACACACAGACTGACACAAGACAGGCGGTGGCTTCAACGACAACCAAAAATGCAGGAGCGTCGACAACGCCCCCTTGAACTCGTGCTACACCAGCATCGCAGGCGGCTACACCGTCAGCTCCAAGATCAAAATCCCAAACTACACCAGCAATCACACCCTCCTCTCCTTCAAATGGAACTCCTTCCAAACCCCCCAGATCTACCTCACCTGCGCCGACATCAAGATCACCGGCTCCGGCTCCGGCACCTCCCCACCCCCAACCTCCAGCAAACCCGCCACCACCACCACCTCCTCCAAGCCCACCTCCACCTCAACTTCCACCTCCACCTCCGCAGCTACCGCCACCGCCTGCGCGACCCCCGCCTCAACAGTCGCCGTAACCTTCAACTCCAAAACCAGCACCACCTTTGGCCAAACCGTCAAACTCGCAGGTTCCATCTCGCAGCTCGGCAGCTGGAACACTGCAAACGCTCCCGCGCTATCAGCCGCCCAGTACACGTCGGCGAACCCGTTATGGACGACCACTATCAACCTGCCCGCTGGCACGAGCTTCGAGTACAAGTATATCAAGGTGGAGAGTAGTGGTGCAGTCACGTATGAGAGTGGCGCGAATAGGCAGTTTACCGTGCCCAAGGGGTGTGAGGGGAAGGTTAGTGTTGAGGGGAGTTGGAAGTAGATACATTCTGGGATTTATCTAGAGGGTTATGTAGGAAGTGCAGTATAACGAGGACAACGTAAGGATGAATCGCAATGAACATCTATGAGATTAGTTTTCTTGTGTGTATGTGTGTGTGTGTGTGAGAGAGAGAGAGAGAGATTTGGGTGGGGGGAGGTGGTGAGGTGGGATTGGATTGACATTTGACATGTGAAAAAGTCTGCATTTTGGAATACGGAACGTGCATGTTGCAGTGTGCATGTGCAGATGCGTCTGGAAAATGCGCTAGAAGGAATGTACCCCACAGCAGGGAAATGGACTGGGGGGAGGCGCTAAACGGGCGTTGCTGCTATTCGTCTGGTGTGTGCCAAGGTATGCAAATGTACTTTTTGGGTTAGTGCTGGGATGTTTGATCACAGGTAGTATTGTGCAGAGAGAGAGAGGGACGATGTTATTTCCGTTCTTGGGTGAATAGGCCGAAGAGAAGGGAGTGTATGTACGTAAGACTGCATGTATACCCAGCGGTAGCGTGAACTGTTCGTACGAGATTTTCTTAATTCTCTGATTCCAATCCTTCCATCTTCATTCTGTTTCTATCAATACATCCCCCACCACCACTTCACACACCCATCCGCACATTTTTTTATTCCATCAGCCAAACAGCCCCACAATCCCATACTACATCACACCATCTCTTTACTACCCCTTTTCACTCGTGCGATATTCCCATCGATTCTCCGCATCACTAGATTCATGCAGCTGTGCATGGTCAGTCGTGATTGTAGCATTGTTGCATAGCCAAAGTATTAGGTCTGTTGAGGATGTGGGTGGCCACCTACACATGCGGAGACAGAGAAGGTGAAGAAGGGAATAAGTGGTTGAGGTTTTGTGATGAGAAAGGGATGGACAGTTTTTTCATCGTGATGTAGCAATCGCCGTTCCGATAGTGTTTTTTGGGTGTGGTTGAAATGTCGAGGACCCAGTGCAAATAGACCCTTCTTTGGGCTTTGTGGGTGCAAGCGTTGGAGTTATGCGGAATGTGAGGGCTCCTCTGTACCAAGTTGTGCTTAAGCCGAGCCAGAAGTAGAGATGGGTTTATGACTCCGTGGTTTGGTAGTAAAAGCTTTTCTGTATTCTTGAATTTTTTTAGTGCAGGTTGCGGATACGTAATGCTGGTACATTCGCTTGGCTTACTAATGTTTTTTGTGGTGTGGATATGACTCTATTGCTGTCATGCTGTCTGCCCAAAGTAGTCCAATCATATCCATGAATCACATCTTGGTGACTATCTCTCTCCTTAGGACATCACATATCTTTCAACCTATCAAGCGCCCTTCCAATCTTGGGTAGTATAGTACTAGCGAGTTCAACGAATCCCGCTACCATCTGTCAGCATGCATCGAATAAGAGCACAAAGGTTTAGGCTTGGTACCATCTGCGGTTCCGTCTAATGTGATTGTATGCATCACTCCATAAAGATACAACATCGCCTGACTTGTATTTGCAGCAGTCTTTTGGGGAAGCTGTTGGGGTGTGATCAGGCGGGGACTGTCAGGCGAGGAGTTTGAAGATAGGGAGATTAGCAACGACCAGACACCAGACGGCGGACTATTACCAAGGGCAAAGTGTTGGGTATCATGGAAGTATCTCAATGCAAGTCTATCCGGGTCCTCAGGAAGCGCCGCTGACGAGGTTTTAGCGAGGCGGCTGCGAGCCTGTAGAGCAAAGCCGACTTCTGTGGGAATCAATACATAAGTTTGCCCAGGATCACCGACTCGGATAGACACTTCTTTCGTAACGAGCTTGCCGTTTGACTCGCGATTAGTGAATTTGCCCGTCGCAACATGACAAGCTCTCGTCGTTGTGGCATGTTAAAATGGCCCAACTGCAGCACGAAAGAGCCTGGGACCAAACAGAGGTTGTGTAATGGCTGTATATGCAGCTCGTGTATTTGCGGTCCGAAGTCTAGCGAACATTGAGAGCGACGGAATTTTCCGCTAGTCGCTGTGATACAGGTTCATGCAAGTAAGATGAGAATTGATCAAAGTGTGGAGCAAATACTGGCCGCGATTCTATGGCGCTAGGCCACAATACGCCGGCCCAAGTGTTTGCTGACTTAATTCGGTTAGTGCGGACTGAGCTCCGAACAAATGCAACTATCTGGGTCATGGCATACGGGCATCCACAGCAGCAAGAGTCTCCTTCGGCATGTATTTCTTATGAGTATTTCAAGAAGTTTGTTTCCAAATTACACTGACAGAGAATGACGATAGCAGATTCAGTCAAGCGAGTGTGGTCGCAAAAGCGCATCACTGGGCTCATGGCAGTTAATGAGGCAGCCATGCAAGGTAAACTAAACAAAGAAACCAAAAGCAGCAAAAAGAGACGTTCAGTTTGATAAAGGAGTTCCCTCAACGATCCAAAGCAAGCTGGGGCGTGCGACGAGAACAGCTCTGTTGCCACGATACTCTGAATTAAGGACTAGGACGGCCAACCCTCGGGCCAATGAAGCCACAGTCACGAGTACAAAGTATATAATTCTATCCGTACTTTAAGTAACTCCTCAATCATTCGTCTCAATTCACTCTAACAGATATGTTTTGTGCCTATCTGCGAAAACACCGCCCATCTATTTGCTTTACTCTACCTATTTTATTCTATGATATCCTAGTGAGGTTACTTCAAGGGGGGGTGGGAGAATAAGCCATCTTGATCAAAATATCAAAGCAAGATCCGCAATTCAAAGAGAGAGAAAGGGTTAATGACAATCACTAATATTTAGTTGATTGAAGAAGGTAACCTATCTGCAACGAAAATCGATCGCAACACATATCCACAGCCCGATCACGTCTTGCTACACCATAGTTTACTTCGTCGTCATGATTTGAAGATATAACAGTAAACAAATTCTCGGATTGGTTGAAATTGTAAGTATCGCGCAGGTGCATACTACTTGCTGAGTTCGATTGGTACGCACTATTCTTTTGCTTCTGGACTAGTCTGAAGTGAGCTTAGCCTACGTGCGTAAGTGTGAGCTTATCCTATATATAGTATATATATGTATACTTACATATCTGGATTACTCCAATCTTACACATGGCAATGATTCAACGCAAAGATCGCATGAAACAGGATTACCATGTGCTACTCGTCCGCACATTTGGTTTGGCTGATAGCTGGGGTTGTGAAGCAATTGCGCCGTGAAGAATTGAGGAGACAGAATCCTGGGGAGGACCAAAACGCGCTAACTGCCGGTGCCGGCTCGTTACGCGGCAAGTCTCCAAGCCACAACCATTCGCCAGCACGTCGACACTAGCAAGCTTGTACGAATCCTTCGCTCGATACAAGGGCCGACGCGCAAAATGTGGGCAGCTTCGAGGCCTTTTCGGAACTACTACTTATCGATTCTTGCGAGTCCAGAACCGTGGGACGTATGGCCAAAGGCTTTCGTGTTTCCTGTAGTTTGAAGCGGGGATAGCCTAGTACGTACCATTACACTACCTGGGGAAAGCTGAAGTCTCCACGCATGCACAGTAAGCTGACGGAGGCCGTACCGCACGAAGAAGAAGCAAATCCAATGGCTACGATCCTGTTGTTGAACTAGACCATCACGTAGCCTTGCCTACCATGGGAATAGTCGATCGGCCCCCAAAGCCGCCCCGGAACAGCGCGACAAGTCAGCCCATATTTTTTGGTTCATTGGCCAGCCACAGACGACAAGGAACGTAATGGCGAACTGGGGGGTTTTCCGCATCTAGATTAGAAGTGGCGCAAAAAGAATGCAATGCTGGAGGTGGCGTTCGAGGTCCTCGGGACGACACTGGTGGAGAACGGACAAGAGAGCAATCCAGCAGACGAGAAAAATCTTGGGCGTATTGTCCGAGGGCCAATTCGTCGTTCCTTAGGAGCTGTAGTAAAAACATTGCATTTGTTCGCTTCGCAATAGCGACAGGAATAGTAGAAAGCCCGGCAGTAAGCAAAACTACCACCGCCAAGCCCCCCACAGCCCCTCTTCCAGAACACGAATATGTATATGCAGCCTCAGCCTTCGTTCCCATTTCGGCTTCTCTAGATCTCGCGGCTGAGAGTCTAGTTCGCCTATCGGCGCTGTCCTTCCAGCACGCCTCTCTATTTTGAGGCAAAACTGTTTAGCCGGCCCCCCGTAATTGGACAGCACCAACGGACATGGTGCAGCCTCATAAGCTGCATATATTGGCCGACGTACACGATCGTCAATACATATTGGGAATTAGAGAGAAAAACCCCCCTTCTCCCGCCCAGCCTTTGCTGCACTGCTTTCTTCCCTTTCCAAATATAACAAAAGTTCTGCTAAACAATTGTGTCGCAAACAACACAGTAGTCTTGGCCCATCCGACAACATCCGGTCTTTACCTTCTTCACAACTCAGTCCGTGTCGACGTATTACTCAAAAATGCATCTCCCAACTGTTCTCACGACACTGCTCTTCACCACTACCGCCCTCGCATCTCCATACGCGTGGGCCGAGCCTCAGGCCAACGTCCCGTCCAACAACAACAACGGCCGAAAACCCAACCGCACTCACCGACACGAAAAGACGCCTACATTCAAGGAGCCATGCAAATGCGTCGACCCCATTGTGCCCATGAACCTGCTTAATGAGAACGAGAAGTGCATGATCAAGTATGCTGCGCGCATGGGATGCTACATGAGCTCCAAGGGTGGCTGCCCTTCACCACCTCCATCTGTAAGTTTGCAAACTCGTTACGATGAAGAGTACCCATGGGTCTGTGCTGACTGGAAGTAGTGTGGTCTCGGTCCTTTACGCGGCATTCCTTCGCTATAGTGTTGTTGACAAGCCCGATGCGGATGTAAGATGGGCTGCTGTACCCATCAAAATTGTTTCTTCATGTCGCAGTTTTTGTACAAAGTGCATAATGGCAGGTATGGAAAGGATATATACGAAAGTAAATGAATTATATTAGGGTTTTGTTGTAGCTTAACGAGTGAGTGTGATGTTGCTGTTGACTACCTGCTTAGCTCGGACTTTGCCATTACCCCGATCGTCAAGAGCGATGGGCGTCACTTCCCAATTCTCTACAAGGACTGACTAAACAGCCATGTTGGACTTGACATTCCTCATCCAGCAGTCTTTTTCTTTCCTACACGCCTCCCTATTTCCATCTCCATCTCAACCACTTCCTAGCCCTGACTTCCCCTCCTTCATCACATCCCTACACCAACCTTCCTCAACACCTACTCCACCCTCCTCCTCTTGCCCCTTCCTTCACCACCTTCCATACCCATCTTCTCCGCCTTCGCCATCCTCGACAACCTCAACCGCTCCTTCTTCAACGCCTCTGCATGCCTGCTCGTAACTTCTTTGTCAGGACATCCAGCTTCACCCGGTTCAATCAGCGACTCGATACTCATTTCCTTCAGCAAACCAGGAACCTCGCTCAGCAGAACGCGATGACACTCATTCTCTCTGCACCAAAGAATCGCCTTAGTCAACGGCCCAGCATCCACGCCCGAAGGAAGCGACTGCAGACCGTGCGCAAGAGCAAGAAGTGGATAGTCGATTTTGCCCCAGGCATCGTAAGTCCAGCCCTCAACCGTATAACTAGCAACAACTTCTGCGCCATCAGATGTAGTCAACGAGGCCGGCATGGAACCAATCGCGTCTCCGTCTCCTTCCTCGGTGTCCATTCCATCCGCGGCCCCGCACCTCACGACGTCTCTCTCACGCGCATTCTTAGCCGCACTATTAATAGTACCGCACTTGGGCACTGTATCGCCGTCCAGAGCACGCGTCATGCTGAGTACTTTGCAAACGAAACTCGATGAGACGCCTGCACGCGCTAGGCGGTCTGCTGCGTGACCCCAGTAGTAGTGTTGGGGGAAATATGATAACAGCTCCATGATAGTGAATTCCGTGTCACCTAATAGTGTAATGTCAACATATACGGGTGTGGCGACGCTCTTGAATGGGCAGAATAGATTGATAGTTGGGCTGGTGGGGTAGTGGTCCTGGTTCTGGAGAATGGGATTGAGCTCAGCTGATAGTGGCAAGGTAGGCTGCTCCGCTTCGAGGGCTAGCATCATGAGCTCAGGGATTGGAGACTTGAGTTTGCGGTTTGAGCGGAGAGCTCCAGTGCCGCGTCGGGTCTTTCCAGGTGTGGGAATGAAGTCGGCGATTGGATCGACTTCCTTTGAGGCAAGCCAACGCCAGCCGTCTGTGAGGTCGATGATCATGTCGGGGCAGTCTCGCGCCTCGCGCCACGGGCGCGAAATCTCCAAGTTGAATATGTTGAAAGTACTAGGACCGATCAGGCTATCAGTCCTATTGCTTGACTCGGGTCCTGAGGCAGCTGGTGCATGGAAGTTCAACAGGCCCTCCCACGGCAATGTCCAGTCGACACCATCAAAGTCAAACACTTCTGCGTCTGATCCATCGCTCAACTTAAGCATGTCGGGTAGCAAGCCATACTCTGGGTGAAGCTCCCCACCCGGTACGTACTTGTGTAGGCCAGCCTGACGTAGCTCCTCGCAAGTGAGGGGCAATGGCCCGATAGGAGTCAGCTTGAACGCCTGACGGTAAGGATCGAAGACGATAGGGAGAAGTCCAGACCATGAGACATGCTTCCAGTTCAAGGGAAGCACGAGTTTTGGCACGCGAGAGATATCCGGCAAGCCATCGACAACGGGTACGAATGGTTGGTGGAATATCAACCGCGGATCTAGAACTGGATATGGGTACGATGGATGCGTGCTCCCGCCCGGGGGATACTGCAGCTGCCAATCCAGTGATTGCACAATAGGAAGCCCCTCGAACGGTATGGGATCTGACTTGCAAGCTACGATGCTGAATTCGGGTTGAGCCGGAAGTTCGTTGTCCACGGGGCGTTTGCGGGTGGCTCGTGGAGTAGGTGTAACCGGCGTGGCTGGTGTAGACGGCTTGGTATCGTCTGCGAAAACAGACTATCAGTAAGTATTCGAGAGGGTGAATAGGATACATGACTTACAGTACGATTGCGTCTGTTTGCGTACTCTGGCACTACGCCGCATCGGCGTGGGACTCGACGCCTTTTCGAGCTCGCGCGCAAGTGCCGCATCACGCTCTACCGCTTCGACATCACCATCGCTCTTATTCTCTTCAGACGCAACGTCATTCAGAGCTCCAGGTGCACCGACATCGTTCATCTCAATGTCCAAGTGCACAGCGTCCGGTTTCGAACCATCACTCACGAAACCGGGGGTCTTCGGAGAGAGCAGTCCATGCCAGGGCACCGACGTACGAATCTTAGTAGGGGTCTTTGGCTCTTCGACCTCGTTGAACTCTTCCGCTTGATCTTCTGCAATGAAACGGTCTTGGCTCTTGGTGTTGTACGAGCTGCCACCCTCTCCACTGGCACCATAGTCTTTAGGAGGCAAGATGAATAGTTGCATCTGCGGATTACCGCTCTTCATCGGCGTAGAAGCGGAATTGTGGGTCTCGGTGCTATGGTGGTATCCAAGAAATTGGGGTGGCTCGGTGGCGTATGAGTGGTACATGCTTTCAGGCGAGTTGGTGTTGTCTGGTGTTTTTGTCAGCCCTGATGTCTCAGATTGCCGTATTCTGGATATGCTTACTCGAACTGATATGCATCTCTTTGGCTGGTGACGGCGTCCGATAGCGCCCTCCCATTCTTCTTCTGGTGTTGTTAGATCATGCAGTGCAGAGTTTAGAGGGGTCGAGTTACTTAGACTGCGCGCTGGGCGACTTAGGGTTGGGAGGTTCCTACCATTGCTGTGCGATGATGAGTGAGGTCTACAACGGGTGGTGAGATTGAGGGTGTAGAAATGGCGCGGCTACTCTCACTCATATCACTGACGTTGATGTCACGCAAGTCCAAGTGAAGCCAACTCCTCACATCCAGCACTTGAAATCAAGAAATGAACTTTTAACATGACACAAGGAGAGGTGCACGAAAAGAAAAAGAAAAACTGAATGTGATAAGAATCAGCGTCAGTTGCAGCAAGCAATGCAGATGCATCGTTATTCAATTAGACATATCCACGATAAGCTCAACCGGCAATACGCAATTAATCGCACATGATCGCCGTTCCCCCATCTCCCTTACCCAGCTTTACCACGTACTACTCCCAATGGCAGGGCCCGCACCGTCAAAAAACGGTTCATCCAGGAGGGCCAGCAGAACCTGCTGTCCAACCCACTGCTCCTCAACCGCCGGCCTGATCCTCTCGGGCGGCAGCACAAACCCAAAGTCACCGGTATCAGGCAACTCAATGGTAAACGAGAACTTGGCGCGCCCAATCGTATACACGTGATCAATCGAGGCGCCCGTCGTCGGGTACAAAGTAGCGCCGCTGGGGCCAAACAGGTACGTAGTATCGTTCTTTGAGGAATCGCGAATGTACTCGCTCATGAGGGAGGCTGTCTTGGTCCACATGCCGAGTTCGGGTGCGTAGAGCGTTTCTTTGTGGCCAAAGGGGAAGAGGATGAGCTGTGAGTAGCTGTGCCAGTCAATGTAGAGCGTGATACCTTGCTGGTCGCGCACTTTGCGGATGAAGTTGTCGAGCCCTTCGTTTTCGGGGGCGTCGCGGGGTTTTTCGCCGCGGTACACTTGTTGGCAGGCGTCTGGCGAGGCGCCGCGTGGGTCGGCGTCCCAGTTTGTTTCCCAGTTGCGGTTGATCTTTAGAGATGTTGTTAGTGGGGTTTGGAATAGAAATCGGTGAGTTTAGGGAGTGTCTTACGTCGCGGCCGAAGCAGGTTTGGTTTTGGTTGGCGGGTGGGGGTTGGCGGTTCTTGCGCCAGAGACGGTCGTCGGTCTGGGAGAAGACGAAACCTGTCACGTGTGAGTGAATTGGTCAAGATAATGCAGCGAGTCGTGGATTACCATCAGGATTGACAAAGGGAAAGATGTAGAAGTCGTATTTGTCGAGGATTGTCTTCGTGTCGTTGTCTCCGGCCTTGTATCCATCAATGAGCTGCTTTGTGATGTACTCGATGGTCTATTAAGCGTTAGTTATGAAAACAGAGCTGCGATTTTGGGTTTACCGACTGGAGCGACGATCCATTCACGGGCGTGTACAGTGCCGTGGTAGATGACTGCGGGCTTTCCAGGGCCACCTGCTCCCCAGAGATGGACACCGAACAGGTCGCGTCCCTCGTAGGACTTTCCACTGCTCGTCCAGTTTGACTGCTCGGAGAAAGTGGCCTGGAGATCCTTCCACCAAGTGACGTGCTTCAGTGACGTTAGCATGATTCCTATCTCGATATCGGTAAACGTGAACTTACATCTTCATAAGGGTGGTAGCTGTCGAACCAGGCATCTTCAGAGCCGTTTGATTGCCTCTTCCAGACGTTCTTGACTTGACGCTCACGAGCAATGGAAGATGCCAAGTCCTGGTGTAGAGTTCGCGACTTCAACCCGAGGCGCTTGAAGGCATCGAGTTGGTCTGGTGCAATGAGCACGTCCCAGGAACCCCGAGCTTCATTGAGCGTCTCGTGAGGGATCGACTCCATTGCACGCTTTGCCATCACGCCCTCTTGGCCAACGGCCCGGATGCGGTGGACCTGGTAGCCATCGTAGGTAACTGGCTGCGAGCTGCGAATAGTCGCGGCGGCAGCAAGCGACAGCCAGGCAAGGTTGAATACAAACTTCATGATGACCTTGGAGCAACCAACGGGGCGGGTGTGAGAGGGAAGTCTATAACTTTTGTCTGAACCTCACTTTATAGCCCTTTCACTATGCGTTTGCTTGGCAAGAGCGCAGTTCATGGAAGCCTGGATGAGCAAGGAACGGTTGCCGTCTCAGGCAACCAATGCCAGCATCAGCCGTATGTACTACAGGCGCACGGTGACATTATACATGTCGGCTGGATACACGGGATAGTCGTGGATAAGAAGCAATCCGGTAATATCCCAAGTCGTTAGTGTTCTGACCTGCCAGTTGCGTTCTAGGCATTGCATGGCGTTGCTGGGCATAAGAGCGGCAACGTCATCAACCCATGCATGTTCGCCATGTCAGATGGGCGCGCACATTGGGGCGGGAGACTCTCCTTGTCTCTATCCAAATTCTTTGTTCCTGTATTGGGTGTTCTGAATAAGGGTTCTTATTGAGGCTGAATAGTAGTCAATGTTAGGGCGACACGCCAGTCTAATCATGGGAGTAAGTGCCGACTTCGTGTACAAAGGCAACAACCAGAATGATGACGAATTCCGCAAGCATGGCGATATATGAGTTCAGCGAGAAGGGTATAAAGAAGGATTTCCAATGCAGCCATTGTTGAGACTGTGGCGGTTGGACATGCGGGGAACCCACGAAAACATGCGCAACCGTTGATACGGTAGACGACTAGGGCCCTGTTCGGTTACGTACCCGTTTTCCGTCTGCCAAACCTAATCCCGGCTCCATCTATAAAACAGGGCTGGAAAGCTTATTCGATTGCGCGATTTGCCAGCTACATTCTGCGTTCTATTTACCGGATTCGGGCTCGGTTCGAAAACGGGACTCATGACGCTGGTGTGTTCGGTTATATGCGCATCTTGAAGATACAGAACGGAGCTCTAGACCTCTTGACATCTAACTCTAGCTGAAAACTATATTCTGTTACCGGAATTGGTGACTCGGTTTATCACGTGGTTTTCATGTGACCCTCACTTAACATAAAACAGAGCCATAACCGAACAGCCCTTCCATTTCCTATCCCAGTTCAGAAAGGCTCGGCGGCGAGAGTGAGCAGCCAGCATTCCATATCGAAGCTTTAAACCTAAGACAGGAACATAATGGAGATAGAAAATGGGGCTGGACCGAATAAGCCCTAGCCGTCTTCGCCGCAGCCAAGGCACGACAAGAACTATACTTCATCATCCACCTTCTTGCCCCACTTCCTTAATTTCTCCATCATCTTAAACAAAACTCTCTGATAGGAACACGTTGTGAAACAAAGTTTCCGAATTATTGCCAAGCATGGCTGCCGGCGCTCCGGGTTCGAATAAAGCACATCCCTGGTCGTTTATTTAGTGCTATTTTGTTAATCGGCTGACGCAAAGCTAAGACCAAGACTGGAAACAATAGACCGAATACAAGCAAACGACCTGTGAAAGCGATTCTTATAACAATGGTCATTATAGTGCGCGCTCTGCCTGCTCGTGCGAAGCAAGTATTCCCGTGAAGACGCAGGCTGCTATTGCAAGAATATATCGCTGAATACACGTCTTCCCCAACACTCATGAGTATGCGGATTTCTCCCAAGTCACTCCAGTCAAACTGGAGTGCTACACCATCTCGAACATGGCTAAGACAAAGACTCGAACAATGTTCGAGCATATATCTCTGTTACATTGTTCACCTAACAGTGTCTTTATTATATACCAGTATTTCCATCCAATACACAATGTCATTGCTCTTTGGTGAGGTGTTGCAAACATCGCCAACGGTTCACTTTCACTTCACAGTGACGAGATCACCGGTACCTCAGTGAACCCCAAGGGCTCAGTGCATTATTGGGCAATAGGTCTCATTTTTATAAAAACAGAGTTTTCGTTGATCCACTGAACACTCTGATACCATTACATTCACACAACTTCAATTGGAGTAGTCAACCAACATACAGGTGCTCACAATGGATTCTCCCTCACAGCTATTCACTTCCGACAATTTTTCGCGTACGGAAGTCCAAGACATGCTAGACGACGCACAGATGGACGCTGGACATCTATACACGAACGTTCCGTTCTTGAGAGACCAGCTCCAGCAACTCCTTTGGGAAGGCATTGAAGAGTGCAACAGCCGCGATGTTGACCCCATGGTAGTACTACATCGCACACTGTGCAATGAGCGGACTATCCTGGATGCATATAATAAGCATCGATTGGGAAATGCTGTGACTTCCTTCAATGCGCAGGTTCTTGATCCAGAGACCGCGGTAGAATACATTGCAGAAGATAACATCCCTGAGGTGCTTGGATTTTTTCCACTGAGAGCCATAGTAGCGAAGCACGATATAGACATCCAGGCACAGCCCATCTATCAAGTTGGACAGACCATGGAAGCTGACCAGGAACAAATGATGGAGCGCAGCTCACCAGAGAGGTTAACACTGCCCAATCACACACCGCATAAGCCGGATACCAGCGATTCACAAAGCACATGGACACCATCCACGTCCTCGGCAGCGCTCAACTACAACAAGCTCCGAGACGCGCCATCTCCTTGGCTCCCATTCCCCTCCGGCAACCTGACCATGGCAGAAGTTACCGCCTTCTTACCTCAATCCATCAAGTCCTTCGACATAATCAACCGCTTCATCTCCAACGGCGCCCTCGCCATGACCCTGGCCAGTATGATCAACCACTACCGCGCCATGCCCATCGGCCCCATCGAAAACAACACAATCTACCGCATGATGAAAGGCCAGATGAACATCCACGCAAAGACCAACCCAGCCTACAAGGGCTGGACCGTCACCAAACACGCCGACATCATAGAACCCTCCACCTTCAACCACTCCAGCGTCAGCGTATCGAACTTCCACACCCCAGAGAGTATGATGTCGTCGCCACAATCTCCCAAGACAATCCTATTCCGCGACTTAGCCAACGGCGTCAAGGTGATGCCCTCTGGCCCCGATGCCCTGGATCTAACACGCTGCATCCAGTACTGTCTCGAGCACGACAACGAAGACTGGTACTACCCGACCGACTTCGCATCCCTCGTCCAGAACCTAGGTGGCGCGGCTCCCATACACAGCGAACACGCCGACGCCGCGGCCATCACTCGTCATTCTGCGGGACTGAAGCTGACAAAGGTGCAACGTGCGCCGCCTGGACGTGGTAGTCGTGTTCGCACGGTTAAGAATACGAAAGCTGTAGTTGAGGAGTCTGAAGAGGACGAGTTGGAATCCGCTTCCTCTTCTCCCTTATCCTCGCTATCGTTCTCCGCCGCTGATGACGACAAAGAAGAAGATGCAGATAGCGACGCCATCGCCGTCACTCCTACCCCCACAAAACGCAAGAACCCCGCTTCGTCCTCTGATGCATCGTCGCCATCAGCGAAGCGCTATAGGAAAACTCCTACGCGCTCGTCTACCCGCAAGCCGGTAGAGTCAGAGGAGGATGAGAGCGATAGCGATGTGTATGTAGGCCCGAAGACGAAGATAAAAGGGAAGGCGAAGGTGGCGACGAGGAGTTCGGGGCGGACGAAGAGGTTTGGGGGGTCTTATTGTGTTGAGTAGGTACTTTGGACTGAAAGACGATTGAGCGGAGCATACTGTGCTATTCTTTGATTGAGAGGGTTAGAGAGAGGAAAGAAGGATGGCCATTGGTCTTGTAACAAGGGATCCGGTTCATTGGAGTTTTTGCCTGATTTGATTATTTATTGTAGTGATACCCCCATTCCACACTTTCATAGTTCTACTTTCTGATATCCAATGATGACCTCTTTCTACATGTCGCCTCCCTTCTCCCCAGTATCCCTTACTCTTTTTCCCACTCCTTAGTATGACTTTATGGCCGAGTAACATATAAATAAACTCAACTAGGCACACCCTCATACTCCCACCCCCCAACCAACCTCCTCTTCCTCCCCCTAACGTTCTCTCTCCGATTCGCCGCACACTTTACAAAAAACGTCAGCGCCGCAAGTACGAAAATGATAATCGCCGCCACCGTTGGCACAACCACAATGCGCGTCCGATCCGTATCCGTACTCGCGAGGTACGGACACGTCGAGTTGCGGCCCTCGACCCAGCAGTCGGGGGTATTGATACTGTTCAAATTGATATAGACGACGTCGTCGTCCGGACTAGCAGCTAAGACAGAATACAAGTGTGCGTTTTCGAGGGCGGTGTGCGGGACGCTGAAGCGGGAGGGCGGTGTGCAGTGGGATTCTGCGGTTTCGTACGGGGAGGTGTCGGAGGAGAGGCGCCAGGTGTAGGGCGAAGAAGGGTCGTGGCAGGCGACGCGGTGGGGCTCGCGGCAGTCTGTTGTGCGCCAGCGGCTGGGATGTGTGGATTTTGTCATTACGACGCAGCGGTTTATGCTGTTGGTGTCGTCGTTTTGGGTTGCGTTGAGGGGTTCGCCCGGGGCAAAGGACCAGAGGGTTGAGTGGACGAAGGCGGCGTAGGGGAGGGGGTTGCGGTCTGCGGGGGTGCGGGCGAGGGTTTGGTTGAGGAAGGGGGATGTGCCGCAGCGGGTGAGGTTGGTGATGGAGGGGATGAGGAGGGAGAGGTCGGGGTTCGCGGGTAGGTCGAGTTGCGGGGCGGTGGATAGGGCCCAGGAGGCGTTTGGGGTCGTGATGCTGGTAGAGGAGGGGTTGAAGAGACAGCCGGATGTTACGCTGCCGTCTGAGTCGACAGAGGTAGAGATTTGGTTGGAAAGTGTGCCTGCAGGGAAGATGTAGCCAGAGTCGGCGGTTGTATTGTACTCGCGCATTTGAGAGTCGATGGTGCCGTAGCTGGCAACCAAGCGGAACAGCTTTTTGAATTCTATAAAAGCTTCTGTTGGCCATCCGTTGCGCGTATATGACTGGCCCTCAGCGTTGGTCAACCCCTCGTAGTATCCATGTACTGGCTGATTGTTCCACTCGACATCATACCAAGACTCGTTCAGATTCGCTCGCTGGTCAGCCAGGTTGGTAGGTTTATACGTCTCATCCGAGAGATTGCCTCGCAATATATCGCTAAGTAGCTGTCCTTGTCCGGGTAGTTGGCCTCGAGAAAGGATAGGAGCATCAGCATTGGGGTTAGCAATCGAGGACGCGGCATGTACATTGAATGAAAACAGGACTAGAGCAGCGCCAGTAGTAGTGGAGGTTGCGTCTAGGAAATCTTCCAATATTCCCGTGAGCAGATCTAGTGTCGTGAGAGAAGTGCAATTATAGTTGCCAACTTGCAAGATTGGTGGTCCATCTGGACTCGGAAAGTCGACAATGGTGGGAGTCGCTGCACTGGTTGGTGCTGAAGACACTGACGAAGCAGAAGCAGATATAATAGACGGAGATGCTGCTGCTGACGACGAACCTACAGCTAGTGATGCTGATGTCGCCGTCTCTTGGCGTCTTTGTGCCCCCGGAGGAAGAGGCACTGTTGACATTGGTACTGAAGCCATCACAGTATCACTGGACTGCACTACCGTCTGACTTGTCCTCACCGGCGCCTCCGCGCCATTCGCGTCACCTCCATTTGCTCGAGGAAGCTCCACAGGACACAAGCTCCATACTTGACGTAGAGGATCCCAATACGTATCCACGGTGAACCTGCGAAACCCCACGGCAAGCAAATTAGAAAAGCACCTTTTAAAAGCAAAATGCTCAAACTGATTTTCAGGAAAACACGCTGCCGTCAGCGAGACACCCGGCACAGTCTGGAAATTGATAGGAACGCGGAGTCCAACGTCGCGTTGAGCCTAAATTTGTATACACCAGTTAGCCTGCAAGTCACTTTTATACCCCCACCTAGCCTAACCACTTTTCCATGTACACGTTGTAATCCAAAAACACATTCGTTTAGACATTTCCAGCTGCATACGCCACATTGACTTTTGGGGGGGGGGGGAGGTGTGTTTATCAATCCAGCCCCAATCCAGCAACATGTACACACACACACACAAAAAAAACTCACCCTAAACGCCTCGCTCCATGGCTGAATCCACCGGGTATCTACAGCACTCTGATCAGGATCATACAGCCCATTAGCCGACATGCCTGCCAGCAATCTGCAGAAAAACACACCACCAACAAACCAAACAATAAGAAAACGCGCAAATGCCCGTTACACACAGCTTATTTTTCGCAGAGTCGTCCAAGCTGAGTGTTGCTCCGGCGAAGCCGAAAGAAAAAAAAAGCCTGTCAGCAAAGGAGGTGTGTTGACGCGACGACAGACAACAAGTAAGCTACACCACTCTTTTTGATAGCTCTCGTCCTTTTTAATAACAAACGTAGCAATACTTTCGCCCACAAGCTCTCACGTGGCGATAACGCGGTTTGTTTAATGACAATATTGCAGTGTAGTTGGAACGAGCCGGGGAGAATGGGGGGGGGGGTGGTGGGTGGCTGGTGCAAAGATCCGCCGGGCCGAGAAACGCGACATGTGACTTCGGTCACGTGCCAGCCAAGGCATGTGTGTGTGTGTGCAATGACGCAAGAACACTTTTTCTTTACCCAGCAATGCCTTAATTTGGTTTAGTGAGGTGAATTGGCTACTCCGCTTTCCTCTTCCCCCCCCTGCCTGGGACCAATTGCGATAGCACACATACGCTTTGGCCCTTACGAGATGATCCAGCGCAAAAGAGGGAAAGAAGAATAACCCCGGGGAGGGGGGGGGGATTTGCAATGCAGCGAATGTCCCTGTAATTTTACAATATTTGGAAGATGAGCATTTTTTGATTGTTTTTTTTGCTCGTGTTGGTGAAATGATAAAAGGCCCGATGGTGCAACATTACGATCGCTTTTTTGCCTGAACTATCGCGTGATGGAAAATCATTTTTTGAGGGAAAAATAAAGAAGAGGGTTGCGCGTGAGATTTTAGACTGAGAAGGGGTGGTGATTTGAGTAATGCTTTTGTTACGTGTTGCGATAACATATTGTGGTCTGGTCGTCGAGGCAATGTGTAAAAAAAAGAAACGAAAAGTAAGCGTAGGGCAGAGAGTGGACTGGGGTGTGTTATTTTATTAACAAGGGAGAAGCTGATTTATGCCTCTTAGGACAAGGTGTTATAGCTGGGTAGATCAGCCGCAATGCCGCAACTTCGCCTTTGGTAAGCGAGAAGCTTTTTCTCACCCCGCCTCTTGTACGACGAACGTCGGAACGTCGAGAAAAAAAACACCACATGCTGTGTTCCTTGGGGAAAAAAAGCTGCATGATCTAGATTTTGTTCAAGAGGAGGATTATGGGAAAAAATTGAAAAAAAAATGCGGAAATAAAGATTGTTCGGGAGTGGCCGTGTTTGGGGCGGGTTAAAACTCCTTTTGCAAGCACGCTGCTGGATGGGACATGCAGGTTCAGTGTACGTTGAAAGGAGAATTAGGAAAACACTGGCTGCCGTTCGTGACGGAATTTTGACGAACTCCGTCGACGGCTAAGGTTGCAAAGTCAGGCTGCAAAGTGCCTAGTACCGTACCCATCTTTTCCCCCCTCTCTTTCTCTCCTTTTTTCCATGCCGTTGCAAGCGCAACCAGTCCAACGCCATGCATGCACCGGTCGCTTTTCCAGCGCAACGATGGCTGGTGATCATGCAGGAACCAAACGGGGAAACCTTCGCGACGAGCCATGGTGGGCTCACCGTGTCATTTTTCACCAGCGTCTCGCGATTGAACGGCGGACCGGTGGGAGAATGGACGGGCCCCTCTGACTTCTGTCTCTGTTAACTGGGGAGGATCCACTTGGTTACCTACGCCCAGTGGAGATATCCCACCGAAGTGTGATACGTTTGAATTTCCTGGTTCACGCCAGAGCTACTGTACATGTCATGTACATGCAGACTTTGGTTTTTCAAGGGGTAAAAGGGGGGCGATGGGGGAAAGGAAGGAAGGGAGCGAGGGAGCGAGGGAAAGAAAAGCGCAGTCCTCTGTAACTGAACCAGACTTTTCCCCAAGAGCGAAAGCCAGGTACTGCAAGTGAGATCGGCCACGCTCTTGCCCTGACAGATACCGGGAGCCGTGGGGTGCGTCCGTTGAATGAGCAAAAAAAAAGGTGTGCGGGACTCGGTCCCATAGGCGTTATGCCAGCACACTCCAAGCCGCAATGTTCCGGAACCCGTACTCCGCAAGTCGTTTGACGTGCAACGTCTTCACCGCATAGTAACTCGGGGCACAGACTGTCCATGATGCGCATGAACCGCACAAGATCGAGCGAGACAACGATCGACGGACAACCGTCAACTCGTGCGTTTCACCAGGGCACCCGCCACGGTACCATGGTTTCCAAAAAAACCTGGGACCGACCAACTTTTCGTCTGACACCTGTTTTGGCTTGTCCTGCAGGTTATTGACAGCTATAGCCTTGCCTTGACGGCTACGTGTTTCATGCACAATTTTTTTTTCCTTGTTTGACTCTTTTGACGAGGCTTCGTTCTGGCCACGCCATCCTGGCAATTTGTTCAGACAGCATCACCTTGCACAGCTTGAGTGCACAGATTATGGGGTATTGCTCATGCATCTTTACGTCACGAGCCAAAAGAAGGCCCTCCTCTGCGGAGGGTATCCGGCAGGATCTGCGATTAGGGTGACACTGAGATGCTGCGATGCTTGCCAAAGCGCGATGAGCACAAGATTTTCATCACACTGACAGGGGCAGCTGGAAGCAACGTGACATGGCACCACGGAAATCATAGTGTCTGGTGAGAATAAGTAATCATCAAGGTGGGACTGGGCTTGTGACGGGTGATTGTACTTTTGGAACCCGTAGCGCCCAGTCTGCAAGCCGATGGTAATACGTATGCGTATAACAAGTTCTCGACCGGGACTCTACGGATATTTGGGGGGAGGGGTGTCCCACAATGGCACCGTTCTTCCCGAGCGCCTAAATGGAGGTAGCCATGGTGTAATGAAAGATGGGTTGAAATTCCGGCCAGTGACCGAGTATTTTCAGACCCGACAGAGTGGAAATATGCCCTGTTATTATTTCCCTCCAAAGCCTAGAAAGGCCTCAGATGGACGGCCTTCCAACGGCGTATGCATTAGCGGTAGGAACAGAAGATGATTGTGGTGGACCGTGGCAATTTAGACGGCAAAGATGAGGATAGCGGGGACGCCCGACCTGACGGCGTAGACCCGAGACGTGAGGATCCGGCAGGGTACTATCGATTGGTGCATGCATGACCACGTTAGGGTACCAGCCTTGGAAGCGGTCCCCTGCGGCCAAAAGGCCCATGCCATTTCTTCTCAACGCTTGCAGCAGGTTTGTTACTTTGCAGATTTACGCTAAGGGGGCATCACTGGAGCTGTGGCGCGCTAGGCGGGCGATCAAAGTCTAATAGCCGAACATGGTAGGATCGTATGGGAGGGGGCGCATGATCTAGCCCTCACTGACTCCTTTACTCTTCTTGGTTGTGGTGGGTGTGGTGAGGAGTTTCTAGTCGCCGACCCTGTATCTCTAGTGGCATCGATCTGGATGCGCCGTTGACTTTGACGTTTCTAGCAACGGCATAGCAACAAAAAGTGATGGATTGAACAGGGAAGCGTTAAGCATAATGTGGAGGCTGGACAGTCCGCATGCGGACGTTGATGGCGACAAGAAGGGGGCCGGGCGTGCCGTAGCGGGGGAAAAGCCGACGCTCTGATTCGAGACTTGGGGTTGCAACGGGGAGCATCCCAGTGCGTGTGACAATGCACTTGAACACAAGATGTGTAAATGGTTCATAGTTATACAGCCAGCGTGATGCTGTAATTAAGACAAGCATGGCAGGTGTGCGGGTTTTGGCACAAGTCTACCACAAGTGTTGACGTACAAGAAGAAGAAAGCCTGCTAACGGCGGTATTTGGGAACTTGACCCAAAACACAGCCTTGGGGGGAAGGGAGGGGATCAGCCGATAGAGGAGACGCTGGAGGCTGCATGTATCGAGGTGACATTATCATGACCTGGAATCCAGTGCCACCACAGCTTACATGCAGCTGCAGTGACCAAGAAAGGAGTGACCAGTGAAAAAAATGCTGACACGAAGGATTTCTCGTTAGCTATGCTATCATAGCCCAATGACGAGGGCGGCTAGGCGATATTGCAGATGTTGAAACGGATAAGACTGCACAAGCTGATCGGTACATGAGGCAGGATCGGGCCCAGGCCTTGATCGAGGTGTGGTGGGGGTTGAGGCACTGCCATGGGGTACTTTGGCCGTTTGTGAATGTCTGTCGTGTGGTGGGTACGCCCAGTAGTACGAGGTATCATTGGGGCGGTGAGAACTTGCCGGTAGGGGTTGAGGGGCAACAGGATTAGTCTTCGCCGATCGTCGGTCATGAGGGTGGTCCCTCTGGTCTGTTGCAGAGTCGCTGGACCTCTGCCATCTGAAGTGAGGGATCAGTCATGTGGATGGGACAAGGTGTGTAAGTTTAGAAGTGAGCTGATGGATATACGATTCGTATTTTTGTTTGACATAGCCATAGAGCAGATACAAGTGTCGATGGCACTATTGGGTATTATCGCTAGCGACAATTTGTCGCAATATACAGATGACTCGCCAAGATAGCGTTTCGAACTTTAACGCACAGAATGCAGAGAAGTGGCCGCAACAGGCCGAAACGAGAACAAGATGATACAACCTCCCAATGTGATGCCCCTTCTGTAGACAGGCCCTACTTGGGGAAAAATCCTGCTAGTCATGCCCAATGTTCCTTAATGATTTCGTACAATACAAGTAAATGTGAACCTTGAGAGAAAGAGAAAAAAAGGACCAGAACAAGCGATGCCGATGGTGGACAACTCGGCTATTAATAGGGATACATGAAGTGGCGGACGTGACATATAGACAAGAAGGGATATGGTAGACAGTGTGAAACACAGGCAATCTACATGATGTTTCGCAGAGACATTCGGTCCTTTGGCGATACGGGTGCGCTTCGTGCCTCTGCTGGCATTGAGGGCAAGACGTAGGGGGACGGCAGTTGCCTCGATGCCGGGCTGCTACTCGCGCTTGTGGAGTGGGGCAGGGGTAGCCTTGGCTCAGCGAGTGAGTGAAAAGGTGGTAGTGGTCGTTGTGGTACACTGGTGGGAGCAGACTGAGGCATAGAGTGGTGGTGTGTGAGCTGGGGGGTCGGCTGGGTAAGGAGTTGTGGTGGTTGCGGGCGCTCGTAGTTTGGCTCGCGGAAAGAAGGGGCTGCCTTGGAAGTCTGGGCCTCGTTGCGGTGCAGAGGAGGCAGCTGAAGTGAGCCACGGCGTCGGTAAGGATCGCTGGAGGAGTCGTCTTCAGGTGCAAAGCCAGTGGCGGGGAGGTAACGGGTGCTGGAGTTCTTGCGCTCTTCCCGGCTACCGACTAGCGGTGCGAGTGTCATGTCTGGGGGAGAAGCGGCACCACGGGGGGACCTCGACTCTGAGCCAGTGTCAGTGATGAGGGAAGGAGCGCCGTCGGCAGATACGATGGAGTATCCAGAAGGTGAAGGCATAGGCGTCTCGAATCCTCGTGCTCGTACAGCCGCGTGTGATCCGTATGTGGCGAGATCGAGAGGCTGTGGGCGAGGTGCTGGGTAGGGCTCAAATCGCTGGGGCTGGGGAAGCTTGAGAGCATGTGGCGAGTGTACTGACGGTCGGTGGGAGTCGTGTCGTTGCTGGTCATGGCGAGGGGTCATGTGGTGGTGCTCTTCATGGTGAGGAAGAGTGCTAGGTAGTGGGTAATGGAAGCCAGGCTGTGCTTGGTGCATGTAGTCGCGGGGTCGTTGGTCGGCACGCTCAGGATTGCGCTTTCTGCGGTTTTGACCTCCGTTCCACCAGTTCTTGACAGCATTGTCGCTGCGACCTTTTAACCGGCGAGCAATCTCTGCCCATCTCTTACCCATCTCAGCAACCATCTTCTCAATCAGTTCGCCCTCTTCGCCAGTGATTGGGTCGTGGTTTAATGAGGGCTTGAGGTTCTGGTGATAGCGCTCTCTGCATTGCTTGGGTGACCTGGAGCCGATTTCTTGTGAAATGCGAACCCAGTTGTGGGGTCCATTGCGAGCTACGAGGTTGACAAGCCACTGGTCCTCGTGCTGCGACCAGGGGCCGCGTCTGTGGGCAACCATTGTGAAGTTTTGTGGTTAAGAAAGGGTGCAGTTGTTTGAAAACAAGTGAGAAGAAATGCGAACTTTGACTCTGAGTCGATGTTCGATGGAAGGCTAAGCGGTGGCAGGTCAGTTTCGTGGACTGGAGGTAACCATGACACAAGATGAAAATGCGAGGGGGGTGAGACAACCATGAGGCTGAGCGTTGATAGGTGGAAACAGGGGAGATGAGAGAAGGGAGGGGGTATATCTGCAACAGGCACTGACAATGTGTAGATTGACAAGATGTGTTGCAGACAAAATACAGAGGACGGGATGTACCCAGGGCAGTGCGAGATGGTGCAAAGGGTCTAAAGAAGGGAGAGAGAGGAGACATACCGTATGTGCGGATTGGTGACTGTGGAAGGGTAGATTCAAAGTGTGTGCAAGTGTGTTGTTGAGTCGAGTGGATGTTGAGTGGTAGTGAACGTTGTCTGACGGACCAACGGTAAACGTGGTAGAGGCGAAGCACCGGTATATATCAAGGCGGGCGTGAGGAGGGAGTAGTCCTGACACTTGGACGCCAAGGCGGTCGAGGAGTTATTGACTTGTTCGGGACGGGCAGAGGTGAGCGAGGATTCTGCTTTTCAGAAGATGCGGCTAAGGCAATGGTGAGATGGTGGACACAGAGCGCTGGGGCGTCATGGGGCGCTCAGAGCAACTGACTGGGCCCTGAGCAGCAAAAGGCTAGTGTGATGGCTGTCGACGACGCACACAGGCAGCGATGGACCTAGTAGAAGGACCAGATCGTCGGATTCGACAAGTACCCTGTATCACATCGTGGCATGGCGTATGGCGCTCGCCGGACGCCATCTTTGGGGAGGCCGAAAAAGCAAGTGGGACGCCCAGCTCGCATTTCCATGGTGGGAGGACCAGGGTGAATAGCCCGCGCACCCCCCTGCGACGCTCCCTGGCCGCCGTGAGCGCGCTCGTCCCCGTCAGCGGCCCACCGCTCGCGCAGCATGGTGCACCTGCCTAGGGGCCCTGGCCGTTTGGCTGCCGATTCATGACGGTGCGCCCGTAGCACATTGGCCGGCGGGCTTTTGTAGACAGCATAGCGATAGTCAGGAATACCCCCACTGGACGCGATACTCGACCTACCCTGCGCACTGTAAAACCAAACATGTCCATGGCCCAAAGGTTGAGCA